TGCACCTGGTACTATTACCACTACTACTGCTGCTGCTACGACTACTGCTCCTGCTGTTATTATTTATACGACGACGACAACGAGTAGTAGTAGTAGTAGTAGTAGTAGTAGTAGTAGTAGTAGTTGTAGTAGTAGTAGTAATAGTAGTAGTAGTAGTACTACTACTACTACACTACGACTACGAGTACTACTACTAAGATTACTACTCATAATACTACTATACGACTTGTAAGACTAGTACTAGTACCACTACTACTACGACGACATCAACGACGACTACTACTACTACAGCTACAGTGCCAGTACGACTAAGATTCACACCACTACTACTACCACCACTATAGGTACGACCACTGCTACCACCTACTACTATGGGCAATAGGAATACTGCAACGTGCGCTGTAGAGCGGGAGGTGGGCAGCGTATGACAGCCCATAATACAAACTAACTTTGGACGGAATGTTTAGTGCGAACTGGGCTTGTCATGGGGTCAGCACTGCGCGTGGCAATATCACTACTGGTTTGCTGTGTGCTCCCCCTACGACCATTCACCCTTAGCCCTTGTGTACTGTCGGTTTACTTTTCGCTGTTTCTTCCCCTGCTCCCTTCCCCCGACGCTCCGCCTTCTCATATTCATCCTCTCATTCCCTTCTCCTACTGTACGTCCCTCTTCTCTCCCGCGTCCATCCTCCTCTCTCCTCACGCTTAACCTCCCGACCATGCTTTCCAGAGTTCCGGAACCTCTCACAAGGCCCTCCCCTTTCTCCCCTCCTCCTCCTCCCTCCTCTATTCTTCCCCTTCCTCTTGGGTTCCAAAGGAACTCCTGTTGGTGGAAGTCTACCATGTGACTCCTTTGGTGGCGTATTACAAAAGGATTCCTACTGTGGCGGCCATGCAAAAGGATTCCTTCGTTGCGCCTCACACAAGGATTCCTTCTGTGGCGGATGGCAACGGGATTCTTTGTGGCGGATTACAACACAAATCCTTCTAACGGATTACATCAAGACGCAGCAGAACACCGCAAAGCCTTCAGGATACCACTGGACAGCGAATGGGACGATATGCGATGAATACGATGATGTTGATGTCGTCGATGATCTTGATGGTGGCGACGACGGTGATCGTGGCGATGATGCTGTGTATGATCGTTATGGTGATGATGACGATGATGATGCTGATGATGATGCTGATGCTGATGATGATGACGATGCTGATGATGATGCTGCTGATGATGATGGTTTCGCGACTGATGATGATAACGATGAGCTGCGAGGCCAGAAAGTGGGCCCACCTACTTCCCCGCACTCGGTCCAATGGGGATGGGATGAAAAAGGCGAGAGGGAGAAGGATGGTAACCAGCAGAAGAAGGACGTGGAGGCTTATCCCCCAGCACAAGCAGAGAGGGAGGGAGGAGAACGAGCAGGAGGACGGGCAGGGAGAGCTCTGAGGCGGGGAAGTCGACGGACGTGCAGAAAGAGACGAAGAAGCGGCACGGGAAAGGGAAGGAGGAGAAGAACGAGCAGAGGCAGCAGGACGACCGCCGGAGGGGAGTCGGCGCTCCTCTCGCCCGCCCCGCTGTCTCCTCTGCGACGCTGCCGGCAACAGCCTGGCCAGACCTGCCTCGCTCGCCGCTCCAAAAGTCCTGGACCCCGGGGCCCCTCCCGCACCCCCCGCGTATGGTGCGGCGGGGGGGGAGGCAGGGGGGAAGCGTTGAGTCGGGCGTGTCCCCCTACAGGGGGATTTCCGATGAAAAATTCACAGTACCCAAACAGCACTCCAAAAATGCAAGAACATAAATCCAGAAATAGTCCCCACTTTTTTTTGTTGACGGGCCCCCCCCCCCGCTTTCACCTCAGCTCGGGGCCGTTCGAAAGAGGAGCGCCCCCGGGGCGTCTCTGCGGCGGGAGGCCGCGGCAGCGCGCGCCCAGGAGACGATGACTGCCGCGCGCGGAGGCCGCTCCGCGTGGGCGCCGGTTCCCGCGCCCTTCGAGCCCGCGGTCGAGGGCTCGGACGAGCGTCCCCTGCGTCCCCTGCCCCGCCCCCTCTTCCCCAACTCCCCTCCTGCCCTCCTCCTCCCCACCATCCCCCCCCTGCCCCTCCTCCCTCCTTTCCCCCTCCTCCCCTCCTCCCTCGTTTCCCTCCTTTCCCCCTCCTTTCCCCCTCCTCCCCTCCTCCTCCCCTCCTCCTTCCTGCCCTCCTCCTCCTCCTCCTCCTCCTCCTCCTCCCTCCTCCTCCTCCTCCTCCTCCTCCTCCTCCCCTCCTCCCTCCTCTCCCCCCCTGTGGCGACGTCCCCTGCGATCTGGCCCACCACATGCGCAGATAGCCCCTTCGCGAGGGCGCACGTGCGCTCGGAGCGAACCCCTGGCCGAAGCTGGCCCGAGGGGCCCGGCTCGAGCAGAACAATCATCCTCGACTCTTTGGGTGACTTTTCATGGGAGCTCCAGGTAATCATGTTGCTCGTGTTCGCTGGTGAAGGCCGACTAAGGCCAAATAAGGCGCGCTGCGGCGCCTTAATTGGCCTTGAATGACCTTAAATCGCAGCGGGATGTGGCAGAACTGGGTTTAGTGGGACCTGGTTTAGTGATCTGTACTGGAGAACGCCCCCCCGCCCCATTCCACTAACCGGAACTGCCGTCACCCGAAAAACACCAGCCGCGGCAGACCTGGTTTAGTGATTCCAGTCCATATTTTGGGCTTCGGGGCCCAATCACTAACCGGCTCCCCTGAACCAGGGTCCTGGCTATACCCGAGCAGTGCGAGGAGAAAGTCCGAGGAACATCTGCAGTCTCTGAGAGCCGGCGGGTCTGAATGATGTACCGGGTGCCGCGGCCGTTCCGGAGCGAACGCCCCAGAACGCTCTGAAGCGATTAATCTCATCCCAGGCCTGTCTGCCTCCTCCCCCTCCTCCTCCTCCTCCTCCTCCTCCTCCTCCTCCTCCTCCTCCTCCTCCTCCTCCTCCTCCTCCCTCCCCTCCTCCTCCTCCTCCTCCTCCTCCTCCTCTTCCTCCTCCTCCTAGTCCTCCTCCTCCTTGACCTTTTAAACGTATGTTGGCCTCTGGGTGCCCCCAAAGGCCTCAAGAGACTTCCAGTTGCCTGTGGAGATTTGCAGAGACATCCAGGAAACAATAGCTGCGCTGATTGGCGAACACCGTCCTCTTTGCGCAATTCGTGGTAAAGAGAGCGCCGCCTCCGGATCGGTGGTCAACTTGACCAAGATCTTCGAGACCCTAGCCTCAACGGTCTTCGCCTTAAGCCTGGGCACGAAAAATATCAGACTCTTAACGCTTGCTTCCCGAATCGGCCCGTTCGAGTCTGTGAAGCCGTTGACGCACTCGGGGAAGATCTTGTCGTTGATCATCGAGTCATCCATCATATCGATCATCTCGCCCAGCGAGCTGAGCAGCCTAAAGCGGACAGCACGATCAGGCATCGTGAAGAGATTCACCTGGAGGAGCAACAATCTGCATAAAGCATACTCTTTCGGAGGGCCGCGGATGCATTGGCGCTGAACACCCTTCCCCAATCGCGCGGAGCGCGCCAAGGGCGGCGCTGGAGGTACCGCCAGGGGGGAGGGGGGTCCAGCGCCGACCCAAAGAATCGGCGCTAGACCTCAAAACGTGTACGTATGCGTATGTAGATGTTGCTATTCGGTTCACCACGAGGGGTGCGATCTTCTCCTTGAACTCGTGATCCTCCAGCCTCTTGGAGATCTTTAGGATGGATGGCAACACCTGGGCCGCCTCCTGCGGTGGGGATGCGGGAAGAACGCGACCCCCCCCCCGCACCCTTTGCTGGGCACCCCGACCGTGCATCTCGCCGCCCCTCCTGGCCCATATCCAATGCCTCTAGGGGCACAGGAATCTGCATAAACACACCATGTCGGAGTCTCGCGCGGATTGCCGAAAACTCACGTTGATTAATCAACCGTGTGTCCCTCATTCGATCCTCTTCACCCTCCTCCAAGCGGTCCTCCAGGGTTGATCCTGACGCCGTCGAACCCTTCCCACCCGGCCTGCTGTACAGTCGGACTTCATTGGACAGGACACGCGAGAGGACAAAAGACCCTTCCGGGGGTCACATTGCCATAGGAATGCAGGAGGCACGAGTCGCGAAACTCAGGACACACAAGTACCCTTGATTTGGCAGGGCCGACCTACTAATCCGGGCCGACTGTATGGGGGGAGGGCGAACAAACAAGTCGTGGGTCGACTCCAGACCTGGTCAGGAAGATGGGGAGCGACGACACGGCGGGAGGCTCTCAAGCAGGCACGGAAGGAGGCTGGGCACCTGCCTGCTGCGGCCGCACTCGCAAGGACGTCGGCTCCAAGCAGTGTTGCACTGAAGGGGAGGGGGTCTACTCCTCCTCCTCCTCCTCCTCCTCCTCCTCCCTCCTCTTCCTCCTCCTCCTCCTCCTCCCTCCTCCTCCTGCTCCTCCTCCTCCTCTTCATGCACGCATTTATTCATTTATTCATTCATTCATTTACGTATTCGTTCATGCATTGAGGGCGCAGGGGTTGAGGCGCAAACTGGACGAAAAGAGAAAGAGTAGAGCGAGGCCCTGCGTCTGCTGTTCCTCGTCGTCCTCCTCCTCCTTTTCCTCCTCCTCCTTTTCCTCCTCCTCCTCCTCATTCCCCTCCTCCTCCTTCTCCTGTTCCTCGTCCTCCTCCTGCTCATCTCCCCTGTCTGGTGGTGCCTGCCCTCCTCTGGCCCCACCCCCACCTGGACGGTTTCCCCCGGGGCCGTGGGCGACCCGAGGGGGGAAGGGCGAGGAGGAGGGGGAGGAGGAGGAGGAGGAGGAGGAGGGGGAGGAGGAGGAGATGGAGGAGGGGGAGGAGGAGGAGGAGGAGGAAGAGGAGGAGGAGGGGTCGCCTAAGCCCTTCGGAGAAACCCTCCAGTGCTGCCTGTCCTCCTCTGGCCCCTGCCCCCACCCACCACCCCTACTTTCCTCCTATCTTGCTCATATCCATCGCCCCTCTTGGCTCGGATGACAGGTACTCGATACTTGGAGGTACGTTGGGTAAAACCATCGTCCCTCATCGTCTACCGACGGACACTCGGGGGTGGGGTCGGTCCATTGGTCCTCCTCACCCTCACACAGGTTATCAGCCTTCTCTTTTATATCCGACATCGCGTCCAACCTGCGCCCCGACCTGACGACATCGGACTAGTTATGCGAGATGACGGCACGACACCAGTCGTCCGTCCTCCCGCATGATGAGTCGTCGCCGTCAGTCGCGCGCAACTTGGATGCTGATATGTCCGATATTCTAGGAGCTTCCCCCAATTTTGCGGCCCGCATGGCCATCTCTCCAGGAACCGACGGATTGGACGAAGCTATGCCCCCACCCAGTGCAGCGCAGTCAATGCAGCGGGAAACCGCAGCAATGCCAGCGTTGCCCACCCAGGCGGCACTTCAGCTCCACGCTATGCAAGCTGAGTTGCAACAGCTTCGTGCCTTGCATGCTCATAGCGTTTCCGCACCCCCACTTCCTATTGGAGATCAGACCCCCCTACAGCAGCGATTCTTACACGCCGCTCCAGGGCTCACGCCTCAATTCCCCACCCTTCATACCACATCTGACGTCCCTCCCGCAGCACTGCACCAGTCAGCGCGGCGGGAAACCGCAGCCCCGCCACAAACAGCGCAGCGGGCCACCGCAGCACCGTCCCAGACAGTGCAGCGGGATACCGCAGCTCCACACATGCCTACACCTTCCTCCCCTCCGAGAGAGAGAGGCACAGGCACACGAAGGTGGGGCCATGGGACGCCCGAACAAACAGGGATTGAACAGGGACAGGTTTATGAGCGAGTCCGTGAATTCGAAAACCGTACTTCTGACCATGGCCCTAGTCGCCGTGCTCATTCTAAGAGCCAAGCTCCCAGGCGTGGCCCCGAACAGTACATTATTCGAGACGATCGCGGCAGTAGGAGTCCATCTGTCCGGGGGGTTCGTATTAGGCCCCATAGTTCCCCAGCCGCAAACCGACATAGGGAGGCTCTGCCAATGCAAGACATGGCTGAGCTACGAGATCACGTGCACACATACGTTGAATATCAAACTAGCCTCGTCCACAAGGCTGTGGCCTCTGATACCGCCGTCCTCCGGAGTGACCTCCAACAGGGTCTTTCGATCCTGGACGCTGCCGTCCAAGAGGACCGTCGGATCATGCAACAGCTGATGCAGCGTCTCGATACACAACGAGATCGCGAGACTAACGAACTTGTGGCCGTCAAGTCCGACTTCGATCGACTTGAAGCTAGCGTCATTCAGATTCGTCAACACAACGATGAACGTGCACGCATTCTTCGCGAAGAGCTGCGAGAAGTCGCGGGCACAGCTTCAGGTGCCTTCGGAGCGCCTTCCACCGCACTACAAGGTCATATTGCCACGATCCGTGGTGAAACGGAAGCTGCAGCACGTGAGCTGCACGATTATACACGCTCCGTTCAGCAAGATTTGTATGGCAAGTTATGTGAGGCCGAGAACGCTTTCCAAGCTCAACTCTCTTCCTGTCAGGTTCAACATGTACCACAGCTTCTATCCAGAGTCCACACTCTCGAGCAGACCGTAGCTGAGCTGCAGGTCGCACGGGCTCATACTGCGCAGGTGAGTCCCACTGCTACGGTGACCAACCCCGACGTGACGGCAGCTGTTCTACAGACCGTCCGAGCGGAGGTGGCCCACTTGCAAAGGCAGCTGCAGGATTCTGTGGCCGAGAGGGATGCCGAGTCAGCACGCGCGAATGCGCGCCTGGATCAAATGAATGCTGAGATGGCTCGTCTTGCTAACGAGAATGTTGACCTGCGTACTCTAATTGTCAATCTTACTACCCACAATAAGGATGACGTTCGATTCCTCACAGACACTCAGAAACATCAACACGCCGAATGGGAAGTATTGTCTGATTGTGTCGCAAAACTGCAAGCAGACAACCCGGGGCGCAAGATATGAGCCTCCCTGGCAGCCGAGGGGCAGCGTTAGGCCGGGCATGTCCCCCTGCAGGCGGACTTTGGGCGAAAAATCAAAGCATACCCCCAACGTATCCCTAAGCATATCCCTAAACATGGTCAACAAATCGTCCCCGGACTATTGTTGCCTAGTTTTGAATACTCCTCCTGTAGAGGGACACGCCCGACTTAAGGGTAGGAGCGAGGGGGAAAACTGGAGCAGGGAGAGGTGGGGGGCCGAGCGAGGGGGGTAGAGAGAGGGAAGTAGTAAGAGAAAGAGAGATACAGAGACATAAGAGAGAGAGAGAGAGAAGAGGCAGAGAGAGGGAGACAGAGAGATAGAAACCACACATAGCGAGTAAACAAACAGACAGGCAACCAAGCAGGCATACGCGCGTATACGCACGCACACACACACAAACACACACACACACACATACACACACAGACTTTTGGCATCGCGGCCCTGCGAGCGGCGCCAGGGCGTAGAAGATCGGAAAACAAAGCGCGCGCGTCTAAGCCCATCCACACGCACACTCACACTCGCACTTTACATGTGGAAGAAGGGCCCCTGCGGCAAATATCGGATCAAGAAAGCAGGAAAGCACGGCACGACGGGACGAGCGACGCGCAACGGCCACGGAAGACATACGAAATCACACACGCACAAACGCACACCAAAAAAAGACTAGAGCGAGAGAGAGAGAGAGAGAGATGAAGAGAGGGAGAGAGATGAAGATATGAACAAAGGCATGAGGCAGGGAGATGGCAGCGCGAGAGAGAGAGAGGGAGCTACATCTTATAAGGAGACGCAGAGAGAACGCACGGCACGCGAGACAAACAAAAAAACACGCGTGGGCGAGCAAGACCGGCAGGCTGCCGGCAGCGGCTGCTGGCCGACAGCGGTCGAGGAGCAGGGGAGAGGGGAGGCGGCGGCCAAGGCGACAGGCCACACCCCAGCGGAGGGCCAGCCCCGTCCTGGCCCGGGAACTTCTGCGCCGTCAGCAGCTCCGGCAGCACCTGGCGCCCGGCGGGAAGCGGGGGCCCCGCCGGACAGGTCGCGGGTGTTGGATCAACGGTAGCGAGCTCCCGACACGCCTCGCACACCCTGCACGCGGCGGCCGCCAAGCTCAAAGGGTGCTTGTGATCCCTGGGTATCCCGCCTCGCGGTTTCGACGAATGAGGACTGCGTGCCGCGGCCGCCAGGCCCCAAAGGGCCTGGTGCTTCCTTGGTATCCCGCCTCGCGCTCTCGGGTAGGGATCGCTCCGAGCAGAATGAGCAAGCAACATGACAAGAGCCGGGGCCGTTGACAAGAGCGACTCAGGATGGAAAGGCTCCAGGGGGCGACGCCACGAAACGCGTGGGACGTCGGAGGAGGGGCGGTGGGGCCGTCGTCAGGCTTCTCGAGGGGAGCGGAGAGGGGCCTCGGGGGCTGTGGGCGTGGGTCCCAAGAGGCCTGGACCCCTTCCTGGGGACAAGTTCTTCATGGGCCGTTTTTTTTTGGACAATCTCGGAGCCCGGGGAGGGCCCCCAGAAGCCGAGTGCGCCCAAAAACCGCCCGTCTTGACTCCATTCCTCCGCGAGGGGTGCTGGGCTCTCCGGGCCCCCGGCCACTGGGCTCTGGCAGCGCAGGCCTGCCGTCCGCCTCCCGCGGGGAGGCCGGGGAGTTACCTACCAGACCACCCCAACCCAACCCGAAGACCCGACTTTCGGGTTGGGGGGAGGGGTACGGGCTTCGTGTGCTTTTTCAATGTTCCCCGATCCCCCCCCCCCACTGGAAATGGAGGGCACATCGGGCCTTCGGGTTAGGTTGGGGTGGTTTGGTGGGCGGGCCCCCAACCACTGGGCTCTGGCATCGCAGGCCTGCCGCCCGCCTCCCGCGGGGAGGCCGGGCTGGGGAGATGCAGTCGGGAGCGTCCAAGAGGCGTCCAAGAGGGGGGGGTGCAAACCATGACTGGTGGCACGTGCGCGGCCCAGGGGGGGGGGGGGCGGGGACGTACTGAAACAAGAAGAGGCGCCAGGAAATCCGGGGGGAAAAAAACATGGCCCACGTCATGAGATCCCCCCCCTCGTCATCAACCCCCTCCCAGACCCACAACGTCATGATTTTTTCGTGGCGTCGACCCCCAGAGGTTTCGACCCCTTCCCCGGGACCAGCTCTCCATCCTGAGTCGTTTTTTGACGGCCCCGAGGCCCGGCAAGGGCCCCCAGAGGCCGCAAATGATCAAAAACCTCCTGTCGTGAATTTTTCACTGCTCGAGGGGGCCTGGGCTCTTTGCTGCCCCCCTATGCGGGCGGAGGCAGGCGCTCCTCGCCGCGCGCCCGCCTGCTTCGTCTGCGTCGACTGCGGGACGCTGTCCAGCAGCTGAGGCAGGCCGGCAAAGAACGCCTCCTTTGGGGGTTTGGGGGGGGCGGCCGCTGCATCACCGGCATGTCGCGGGTCTCCCCCCCCTCTCTTCTTCGCTGCCTCGTGCTCCTCCTCATCCTCGTCCTCGTCCTCGTCCTCGTCCTCCTCCTCCTCCTCCTCCTCCTCCTCCATGATCGTCATGATCCTCCTCCTCCTCATCATCATCAAGATCATCATCACCACCACCATCCTCCTCATTCTCTTCGTTGTCATCATCATCACCACCACCACCATCATCAGCAGCAGCCTCATCATCACCATCATCATCATCATCATCATCATCATCATCAGCATCAGCATCATCATCATGACCCTGACTGCTCTCTTTCCAGACCACTGCTTGCGGTGCACAGGTGAGCGTCTTCAAGCCAATTCTGCCCCAGCTTTTTGGGGTTGGGCGGGTTCTGGGTGAACCAAAAAGACTGCAGAGCGGAAAACGGATGACGAGGTCAGGTCATTTCCGTGGGGCACAAACATGACCCTGACTGCTCTCTTTCCAGACCACTGCTTGCGGTGCACAGGTGAGCGTCTTCAAACCAATTCTGCCCATAGACAGGACCCCCGCATACAGCACTGGAGTGGCGAATTTATTCGACGAAATATTACACATTAGGTATTGCAGCAGGAAAACCCCCCGAGGCCCCAAGATTAGAAGGAAAGGGACAAAGAGGAGGGAAGAGAAGAGAAAGCTGGCCACAGTTCGTGCACACGCAAGAGGCTGAGGGACGAGGCGATGGCCTTGGCTAGCACGAGGCACAGCTTCTCGGGGTAAACCTGCTTCTGGCGTGTCAAGAATCCCCCTTGTCCCGTGGGCCCGTCCAACTGATAATGAGGTTTTCCCGAAAAGCTGCAAAGCCCACGGCCCTTACATTTAGCACTTTCCAGAGCCGGACACTTAACGTTGAACAGGTTGAGACGAGTACGAGCTCTCCAAGGCGTGCCGAAGGCGCAGTAATCAACGATATATGTCGTGCACTCGGGACGTCTCATCATGGCAGGCCGACGGTGGCCAAGCCACAGGTAGCTCTGGGAAGGGTTTTCTTCTCCACACGGCAGGCCTCGCTGGATACACGCTTCTAGCAGCGCGCCTGACCGATGAGCCAGCACGTTACCTTCGGCAACTGTCCGCTGATCACGCGCATCAAGATTTGGAAGACCTGCGGGGTATTCAGGACTGCGCAGCCTGTGAGGAAGTCGTGACCACTGCGGCGCTCGCCGGGCCATCGTGAACGATTGACATGGGGTACCTGACCACGTTCCCACGACCAGCCCTGATCGAATCCATCCTAGGAGAGTGTTGAACGCATTATCATTCAGCAGGTCGTGGGACGGCCCATGGCAGATATCGATGCAAACGACGGCGATATTCCGGTCCGCCAGAGCCGCCGCCAGCCCTCCTGCCCCCGAGAACAAGTCTAGAAAGATCCTCGAGCCGAGGGGCTGCGGCTGTGCAAGAGCTTGACGCAGCGCTCGACGAAGGGCGTGAGGCCGCGGTCCACCAGCGCCGCGATCTGACTCCTCGCCGTCGCGGGGAGCTTGCCGAGCTGCAAGGGCACCCGCGCGTGCTTGTCGTAGCGAGCGACGCCCCGAAAGCTGCGCCCGTGCTCCCTCTGCTGCACCTCGAGGAGCGACCGCGCTCGAACGAGACGATCGTGGCTGGCGCCCCCGTGCCGCAGCGCGTAGAGGCTCGGCTCGACGCAAGAGACCTTCACCTGCTGCACGGCCAGCGCGAAGGACTGGTACAACTGCCTCGAGCTGACGTCGAAGAGGCGCTCTCCGCAGGCGCGCCCCGCCTGCAGCGCCTGCAGCAGCGGGATGGGTGGGCGGTGGCGGTCAAAGTCGAGGAGCACGCTCAGGTCGAACTCCTGGGTCTTGGACGGCCGTCCCAGCTCTTCCACGTGAACGCAGAAGCCCCAGAACGCGCCTTGGCCGCGCGACGTCGCGGGCGGCACCAGCTGCCCCACAGTCAGGCTGAGGAGCTCCGAGGGGCGCAGGCAGGTCTCGAACATGACGATGATGGCCAGGGCGCCCACAGGGCACTCGGGCAGCATCGCCCACGCCAAGGCCAGCACGACGCCCCAGGGCAGTGGCGGGCGGCTGTGCCCCGGGTCCAGCTGGCGCCAGCCCAGCATGGCCGCATGCGCGCTGGGGAAGGCCTGGCGCAGCGAGCCACCCAACGCAGGCTGGGCCCACACCACGGCGGCCAGCAGCCGAGAGGCCAGCGCCCGCGACCACCCCTCGCCCCGCGCCCACTCCACGAAGTCGAGGAGCTGGAGGGCCCACTGCGGGCCCGACCAAGCGGGCAGCGGCCACTGATTCAGGTAGCCAGCCAGCTGCTCCAGCACGTCGCAGTAGCCCGCCTGCGTCGCCGGGCGGATCCGCTCCTGCTGCAGGCCGGTCAGCAGCGGGACCAGCAGCAGCAGCCGCGCCCGCGTCGCCGCCCGGAGGCGCTCCAGGCGGCCCGAGCCCTGGCGGCCCCCAGGGCCAGAGAGGGTTGAGCGGGCAACCCGCCGTGCGCCACCAGGACGGGTGGGCTGGCAAGCCCCAGGGGCGCTCGGCCCAGCGCGACCGCTGCTCGCGAGGCCGCGGCCCGTCGGCGCGCCGGCAGAACGGCTGCTGGAGCAGCCCGGGCCCGCATCGTCCACGTCGTCTGAGTCGGACGGGACCGCAAGCAGCAACTGCGCTGGAGGCAGGCAGGCGGCGTTGGACATGGACTGCTACTCTCGCTTGGCCCCCATGCCGAGGCTGGTGAACTCGGCTCGCAGCGTCCAGGGCGTTGAGCTCCGAGGGGGCCCATCGGTCGTGAAGCTTGAGCCCGACGGCGAGAGCGATGGCAGACGAGAGCCGGCACTGAAAGTTCATGGCCAGAGTCGACGACCTGCCCTTCGCGTGAGCACAAATCACCGACATGTTATCGCCCAGAAGCAGCACCCGGGTGTTATGAAGGCTACAATCTCGAGCAACATGTCGCACCGTCCAGGTCCTGGCCCGGGCCCCGAGATGGACCTGGGACCCCGGGACTCCCCTCCAGCGGCCCGCGCAGGCCACAGTCCAGCTCCGCTCGACCAGGGCCGCCGGGACCTCAGCGAAAGAGCGAGCTCGCCCAAGTCCCAGGATGTTGGCCTCCGAGGCCTCCGAAATCTCCAGCTCCTCCTGGTGGTCCAAAGCCCGGGGCCGCGGCGCCTCTGAGCTACTGAGATGACCCCGAAAGCGTGCTCGCTCACGAACACGGCCCACAGCGGCGACCTCACCAGTCTCCCAGCGCGACGACCCAACTCCAAATCCCCAGCATGACGCGTCGTAGCCGAAGACTCGGCTCGACCACGGGCGACGCATCGAGGCACGAGCCAAGGGCAGAAGAGCACGTATCCACCGAACTTCGCGATGAACAGATGGCCAGAGGGGCTGACGGCGAGTGTAACTCTCGTGGATGAACACATAGACCTTTTCCATGAGGCACAAGAGCTCCGGGGAAAGCGAGAACAGAGCCGTGACGTGGCCCACGAAACGCTCCAGCTCCTGCCCTGTGATAGCAGGTCGGACCTCTAGAAGATAGTCGGCCGCCAGTTTCAACCTCCAGAAACGATTAGCTTTAGGACGCCATTCCCCCGACGCGCCCACCAAAGTGAAACCAATGAAGTCATTGTCCCCCGCCTCTGAGGTCTCCAAGGTCGCCGCGATCCCAAGGCCCGCGAGCTGAGACTGCATGCTCTCGACGTCCGAGGTGGCGACCGACTTAGACTGGGCAATGGAAACGAAGTTGTCGATATAAAGTCCGCGAAGCGACCCAACGTCGCCAAGAGGCGGGAGCGGGGCCTTATCTAGGAGCCACGGGGCCTCGGGGGAAACCTTATCGAGCTGATACTGGTTAGCGGCCTGTACAAGAGCCACGGCCCAATTCCAACCCATCGGCACCACGCGAGCCCCCCAGCCCCGATTACGAGCCGCATCCGGGAGCGCGGCGACGAGGTCCGGGGACAGGTGCGCAATAGGAAGGGAGGGCAGGCCGAAATAACACCTGTACTGTTCAGGGAGTGTAAACTGGTAATAGTAGACTTCGACATCGCCCCCGTGCAGCACGGGGATCACATGAGGCTCGCACTCGAGATGAGCGAGAGCCTCACCAGAGGGCAATGCCACACCAGGAGGCTCGCGGAACCGAAGGTTAGGCACACGAGTGTCCCAGATCAGGCGAAGAGCACCTGACTTTTTTCGAACGAAAAACAGGCCACTTTCTTCGAGCACATCATCGCTGACTTCCACAACGCCAGCGGCCCAGAGCTCAGAAACGAACTCTCCAAAAAGTTTGGGGTCATCCCGAAGGACGGGATCAAGGAAGAGGCTGCCACCAAAACTGTCACGGCGAGCGGCAGCCTCCTCCTCAGAAAGTAGGATTGACCGATCTTCAAGCGCAGACTGCAGGGCGGGCGGCAGGCACTCACTCAGCGCAACTCGCCCAGAGAGCCCCGCGGGAAGCGACACGTTCCCTCGCTCGAAGTTCGCCCGAGCACCGACGGCCATCGCGTCATCCGCGTAGCCGGGCCGCGTACCCTGGAGCGCCTCCCACGCTCCCAGGGCGCTCCCGCAGTCAGGCGGGGGAGCGACGACTGATCCGCACTGCCGTGCAAGGTGTCGAACGGCCGAGATCTGAGCAGAAGTCAAGGACGAAGGCGAGGTCGCCAGCGGCTCGGGAGCGCCCAGCTCGTTCAAGGCGCGGATGCCCTCGAACAGCCAGCCCTCCTGAGCACGTCGACGTCGAAGCCGCCGCCGCTGGCTCTGGGACAAGCCCAGCCCGCTGGCACCCCCAGCACAGACCTCCGAGGCGGCCGCCAGGGAGATCGGCAGAACGTCGCGCTGCCTCATCTGCTGCGAAGCTGAAAACGCCTCAGGGTGGCACCACCTGCCAGCCCTGAACCCCTCGCGAAAGCCCTCGAGGAGGCGGGGCAGACCCCCCCGTGGCGGCACAAGTCAGATGGAAGCAGGCCCTCAGGCCTTCTCCTTGGGACCTTTGGGCTTCTTCGTTGGATCAGCCGTCGTCGGCCCCGTACCTTCTCCTTTGGCCACCGCGGCCTCCTCACGCGCCTTGCGGCGCTCCTTCAGCAGGGCGGCGCGGGCCGCCAGCTCCTTCGCCACGTAGTCCTCCAGCTCAAGCATGACGATGGCGCTGCTCCTCAGATTCTTCACGCCAAAGAGCAGCGAGCGCTCGCTCAGCCAGTCGTCGCCACCCGAGCCGCCTGTGTCCACCTCTCGCAGCAGATCCTTGTCGGCGCTCTCCCACATCTGATAACGTCGGCTCGGGAGCTCGAGCGTCGCAGGGTTGCAGACCTGCATCTGATCGATCGTCATGCCGACCTCCAGGAGCTGGGACACCAGCAAGTACTCGTCCACGCCGACGTCCGTCGCCGACAGCCCCATCACGGAGCGCCACCAGTAGTGCCGTTGCCCCGAGCTGTGGTTGCCCTCGTAGATCCGCTCCGCCGTGTAATACGTCGAGCGCGGACCCTCGATCTCCCAGCTCTTCCCGAAGTCGACGAGCCTCATGTCCTTCAGCTTGAAGGTACAGCGCACGTTGGACTCGAACTCGACTAACCCCAGCGAGCCGGTGAGAACGTCACCAAGCCCCACACTGCCACGAGACTCCATCGCGCACCACTTCGCGGCGGGCCCGGCGCTCGCGCCCGCCGCGGGCGGCGCAGCCACAGGGACCACCGCCCCGGCGGGACTCAGGCCCCGCGCGAGAGCCTCCTCCGTGTCCATGTAGTACTGCCTGTCCTGGTCGAAGCGGTAGTGGTCGACCAGGTAGTGAGAGAGCGCGCACGCCGTCGCGGGCGCTTGTCCCTTGGCCAGAAACCGCTTCAGGTCGTCGGCCTCGGCGTAGTCCTCCTCGAAGATGTCCCAGTCTCGGGAGACGATGACCCGTTCCTCGACGAGGGACACGAACGTGTCGTTCACAACCGGCGAGGCGCCCCAGCTGCAGCGGCCGAAGCTGTCACCGATCAGCAGGCCAGGCGTGAAGGCGATGACCGAGACGAACGCCAGCCGCCCGAGCAAGGCCGTGAGCCCGCTCCCCACGACGGCCTCCGAGTGAGAGTGGCAGTCGCACTGGCAGACGCACTGGCTCGAACGCCCGACCAGCTCCGCCAGGAGACGGCACTCCCCGAGAACAGGCTCCGCAGCAAGCAGAGCCTCAGGCACCTCGCAGGTGCACTCGACTGGCGTGGGCCACAAGAGTGTACGCAGGAAAGAAAGCTCTCGGAGCGCTGAGAAGCTGAGGAAGAGAGCTTCCATATGGTTCTGACTTGAACCAAAAAGACTGCAGAGCGGAAAACGGATGACGAGGTCAGGTGATTTCCGTGGGGCACAAACATCATCATCATCATCATCATCATCATCATCATCATCATCATCATCATCATCACCATCATCATCATCATCATCATCATCAGCATCATCATCATCAGCATCATCATTATCATCAAAACCATCACCAGCTCGATCACCAACACCATCACCATCACCATCAACATCATAGCCATAGCGCCGCGGCGACGCACAACACAACAAACATACCTTGACAGCAGCCAGAGCCCCACTACTTTCGACAGCACAAACGACGAGACACCAGACAACGACCACAGCACCATCAGCTCTGGCGTCGTTGCTTGTGGGGGTGTCTGGTTATGGCGCCGAAGCGGGAGCGTCGGTCCTAAATAAAGAGCAGGGCAGTATCGAGCGGGAGCCCCTGTTTAGTGGAAAACCGGCTTTGGGCGGCGGGTATAACCCCCTGGATCTTAATACAACGGGAGGACGTATCGAGCTGGAGCGTTGTTGTTGTTGCTGGTGTTGTTGTTGGTGGTGTTGTTGTTGCTGCTGTTGTTGGTGTTGTTGCTGTTATTGGTGTTAGTGTTGTGGTTGTTGCTGTTGTTGTTGTTGTTGGTGTTGGTGTTGTTGCTGTTGTTGTTGTTGTTGTTGTTGTTGTTGTTTGTTGTTTGCTGTTGTGTTGGTTGTTGTTTGTTGCGTGTTGTTGTTATTGTTGTTGCTGAGGGGCGGTTTTGGTGGAACCCCGAAACGCCTGAGCGTGAGCCTCATTCCCTACCTAGGCTCTGCCTAGAAGGGTTCTTCCTCTCTATCTTCAAGGGGCCGGGCAGTGTAAATCGCCCCGGGCGGTTCCCCCAGGATCCGCCCCGCGGTTCCCCCAGTTACGTCCCCTTAGCTTAGCGCTGCTTATCTCATCTTAGCTTAGCCTAGATAACTTAGCTTAGCTTAGCCTAGCCTAGCTTAGCTTAGCCTAGCCTAGCTTAGCTTAGCTTAGCCTAGCCTAGCTTAGCTTAGCTTAGTTTAGTTTAGCTTCGCTCAGCTTAGCTTAGCGCAGCATTAGCATAGCATCGCATCGCATAGCATAGCGCAGCATCTCATAGCGCAGCATAGCATAGCATAGCATAGCATTGCATAGCGCAGCGTATCATATCATAGCATAGCTTAGCTTAGTATAGCACAGCGCAGCATAGCATAGCATAGCATAGCGCAGCATAGCATAGCATAGCATAGCATAGCGCAACATTGCATAACATAGCATAGCATAGCATAGCATACTACCGCTACTGCTACAACTGCGACGATGAGGAGAAGAAGGAGGACGGCGCTTACCGTTACTACTAATATTGCTCTCCTCGGGGCTCCAAATCCTTGGAAGGGTCGCTCTGGGATAACTTTCAAATAAATGCAGCGGACGCCGAGGCGAGAGCGCCAAAGCGCCTTTAGGGTGTCCAGCAATAACAATTGCTTAGTACTTAAGATTCAACAACAGCAATCGTTTCAAGACTGTTCGCTAGTATCTGCTCGCGTGCCAGTCAACACGTATATCCTAAACCCTCTGCACCCACCCTCTTCGTCTTCGATCGTATCCCCTTGGGGGTACATCTTCCTTACCTGCCACGCGTGTTTAGCGCAGCCCCTAAAACAGAGAAAGAGAAGACGGATGGAAGGGGTAGGGTGAAGGATGAAGCACGAGAGAGATCAGCAGGAGGGGGGCGAGGATGAAACACGTAGCAGAACCATACGGGCAGATCGGACGTGTAGACCCGAACGGGCGGGTCGGGAAGGCGGGCCCAAGCGGCCAGGTCGAGCAGGCGGGTTGCTAAAACGCGTGTCCTGCATGACCTGCGAGGTCTCAAGCGATAGCGCGATCCCCAAGTCAATCTTGAGAAAGGCCAAAGCGAGAGCGTGATTCCTGAGGGCGCGGCGTCTGAACCAATTTTGAGGAAATACCGCGCGAGGGCGCGATTCCTGCGCGCGAGAGCGCGATTTCTCAATCAATTGTGAGGAAATATTAGGCGTAGCCGTTGTTGTTGCAAACCAGTGGCCAAAATTATAGTTTGGTGACCCCACACTTCCCCTGATTCAAAGCCAGGAGCGAGTCCCAGGAGGAACACTTCAATGGGACAACATAATGATCACCAGGCAAGGTGGATCAAGCATATTTTTCCTCAGAATGTCGGAGGCGCGCAAACATGGATTAGCGATCAATGGATTTGGCGCGCGGTCGCCTAGTCCATGGATCGGGGGAGGTGCCCTCCCCAAAATGCGGCCGGTGCCGCCTCGTTCGGCGGCGGAAATCCGCGATTTCCCATGGAAACGGGACCCGTCGCTAATCCACGCCCCCTTAATCCATGTTTGCGATCGCCTGAGAATTCATCAACAATAACAACAGCAAGCAGAATCTGCGCCGAGGAGTCCTACTTCAGCCACGCACCGAGGGACAATGGATGACCCGTTCGCTCCCCTCGCTCTGCCATCCAGAGGGCGGCACTACGAGCAGAGCACTTCATGAAGCTTCAGGGCATCGACATCTGGGTGACGGTGCACAAGCGTTAGGTCAGGCATGTCCTCTACAGGGGGATTTTTGATGAAAAAATTTAAACCGTCAAAATATTCAAAAATTGTCAAAAATGGTCAACAAAATCGGCCTCAGACTATTTTTTGACTATTTCGGAATACTCCCCCTGTAGAGGGACAGGCCCGACTTCGAGCTTCAGGGCATGGACATCTGGGTGACGGTGCACAAGCGACAAGTTTAGCGCATGGCTTCAAGAGTCGCAAGCCACGCTCGAAAAGGGTGGACATGGCGAGGGCTACGCTGGCAACTTGACTTCCACCGGCGCCAGCAGGGACAGAAGCAGCACAGAGGCCAACGCAGACCAGACTTCCACCGACCATCCACACAGACCAAATCGAGAGGACAACCAAACGACATCACATGGACGCGAACATTCCAAGATACCAATACGTGTGCGGCGCTCGAGCATGACTACACCGACTTCACACCGGCAAACACCCAGGACCAGGATCCATAAACTTAATGCCCAGAGAACAATCGAGACGAAAAGCCCAGCCCGCGCCGACACCGACACCGAGGAGTTCCTCTTCTTCCTCCTCCTCTGCTCCTAACGTTTTATGTGTCTCGCATTCCATGTATCCAGACGAGCTAGATTCTCGAGGCCACGGCCTCACCCACCTGTTATGAGCTAGGCCTGGACCCTGTCCACAATGGTGGTCGCATCGCATCGCATCGCATCATGATCATCATCACCACCACCATCATCATCAGCATCATCATTACTATTATCACCACCATCATCATCATCATAATCACCAGCATCATCATCGGTATCATCATCATCATCACCATCATCACCAGCACCATCATCATCATCATCAGCAGCATCAGCATCAGCATCAGCATCAGCATCATCAGCATCATCATCATCATTATCAGCATCGTCATCACTTGTTTTTAATGGTCCTCACTCCTCCTTCTTCTTCTTCTTCTTCCTCCGTCAATCTCCGTCCTCCTCCTCCGCCTTCTCCCACATCCTTCCCCTGCTCCTCCACCTCACTCTATCCCTTCTCCACCTCATTCGCAATCGAATTCATTCCGCAACGGAGGAGAGGAGAGGCCGAGGTGCAAGGAAAGGACCCCTGGGGGGGACTCCTTCTCCTCCGGCGACCGTATGTGCAGCTCGCTGAGGAATCTCATCACCTTGGGCGAGGCTCCCGCGCTGCAGGAGGAGCCGCGGGAGGAGGGGGAGGATGCGCAAGCATGTCTCGGGCCCGTTCTCCCCTTCGCCGCGAGGCCTCCAGAGGCCTCTGGAGCCTTTGGAATGGCCGAGGACGTAACAGAAACTCCATTCTGCATCCTCTCCTCTCGATCTTCGATCCTCTCGATGACCATGGTCATGAATAGCAGCGTTAGGGGAGAAGGGGCGGCTCGGGAGGGACACACATCGAGCTGGAGTCCGAGACAGGTCACCGATAGATCGGCGGCGGCCACCCGATAGCAAATCCGCACGCTCCTCGGCGGGATGGGTAATCGGATCCCCGTCGCCGATGACTTGGCGATCGGGGTCGATGCATCCCTCTCTGAGTATGTCCCCCTCCGAAATGTTGCCCCTGAGGTCAAGAACGGCCTCATCTTGATCCTCGATCCCTCGATCCGCGATCCTCTCGATCTTTGATCGTAGATCCGCGCACGCCGCCGCTCGTCGCCTGCACGCAGGGGTGCTCTTGGAAGTACGGCAGCGCGACGACGTCCGCGATAGGATCTCGCCCTCGCAGCGGTCCGGGTCTCTGCAGCTCCGCGAAGGGCTGGCGGTTTTTTTTGGGGGGGGAAGGGGAGGCGGAGGATGACGAGGTGGAATCTGGAGGAGGGGAGGACGACGAGGAAGAGGACGGGGACGCTGCCGTGGAAGAGGCGGGAGGCAGGAAGAAGAGTGAGAGGAGCAGGACGAAGACAGAAGGGAGGAAGAGGAGGAGGAGGAGGAGGAGGAGGAGGAAAGGAGGAGGAGGAGGAGGAGGAGGAGGAGGGGGAGGCAGGGGGACCCAGGATGAGGCAGGAGGCAGCGAGGAGGAGGAGGAGGAGGCGGCAGAGAGGGGCGGCATCTTGCCCGCGGGAGGGCGCAGGCGGCAGGTGCGCGAGCCACTGCCCCCGAGGACCTGCGCGGAGGCCCCTATGGCGGGGCTGGCGGGGCCGGCGGGGCGCCCTCGCAGCCGGGAGCCCCCCCCGAGGAGCCACGGAGGTGCGGCCCCGAGCGCCCTCGCGCAGAGGAGCAGCAAGAGGCACGACGGACGGTCCTGGGCGGCTACACGCAGGAGTGACCCTGGGTACTGGGTAGGAGTGACCTTTGGTGTGCGGCTCTTTGGGGGCCGCGGGGGGACCAAACACACAAGCGCGCAAGGCTCTGCTACCGCATCGCGTCTGGCGATCGGGCGATCCCATTGGGCCCGCGCCAAAGGTCACTCCGGCGAAAGGTCACTCTTACGTCTGGATGACTTGGGCGGTTCTCGGCCCCGCCCTCGCCGGGCCACGGGGGCCTCTGATACACGCCGACCTCTGGGACGAAGCTCTGGCCTGGATGTGCGGCTGGAGGCTCGGCAAGACGGAGTCTGGTGCCTGCACCACCAATCCTCAAGAAATCCCGTGGCACAGGGAGCTGTGTCCCCGTACAGCCGGTGGTGCTAAATCGCCCCCGCCCGTCCCCAGTGGGCGTTCCGTGTGCCGGCGCAATGATTGCTGACAAGGTGTTAAGTCGTCCCCGCTTTCCCTGGTGGAGGTTCTATGTGCCTGCACACGGAAAGAGAAATTCCAGAAAAATCAACATGTCGCAAGAGGACGTGGGAGGAGGAGCGGGTCCCCGGGCGGGAGGGTCCTGATCTCGGAGGGTCCACGTTGTGGAGCAGCGGCGCGACGTCAGAGGTCTGGGGAGAAAAAAAGCGCGTTCCCAGGGAGAGCACCGACAACAACGACAGGGCCGCGCCATGAGATCGCGGGCGCGCCGGGAGGCCGCGGGCGCGCGGGGCGCCACGGAGTACTAGGGTGCAGATCGGCGAGGCTGCGAAGCCGTCGTGCAGAGGACCAGGTAACCACGTGCGAACTCCACCACAGTCATCGGCCCGACCTAAGGAATGATACATAAGGAACGAAACCCCTTTTTTCCAAGGAGTGACACATAGGGAACGACAAATAATACGTAGCGCATGAGGAGCGATAAGTAACGCATGCAAGCCTAAGGAACGACCGAAATCCTTTTGAAAAGTAAGTGTTCCATATGCAAGCCGCTCACTGTAATGCAGGTCAGATTTCTGAGACGCTGGCTGGGTTCAGACTTCGGAGAATGTGTGCAGCCAAATGGACCCCAGCAAAGGTATCCGATGTCCCGGCGTCAATTGGACCCGCAGGGGTCGGGCTCGCGATCGGTCGCAGAAGGATGCAGCCGCTGCAGGACTCGCGGAGTGAGCGAACGCCGCTCGCTGAAAGGCCCCAGGTCGTCGAGTCCAGACCACGCGAAGGAACGCATCCTGCGCCACACTTGGGCCAGACTGGGCTTAGGGGGCGCCCCAGTCGGGGCCTTTACGCTGGCGACTGCTCAGCGAGCAATCCGGTCGGATGCCCGCCCCCCAGAAAAAGGACGCTAAGCCCCGCGTGCCAGGCCCGCCAGCGACAGAACGCGGGCAAGACAACCACGACTGAGAATCACAGCCCACGTGGGCCGCGATGCCAAACCCCCAGCTTCTCGAGTCTGGTCCAGCCGTGGCGACGCTGCGAAGCCCTGGGCTCGTTTGGGCCCGATGGGGGAGAAGAGGAAGAGGAGGAGGAGGAGGGGGAGGAGGAGGAGGAGGAGGAGGAGGAGGAGGAGGAGGAGAAGGAGGAGGAGGAGGAGGGAGGCGGAGGAGGAGGAGGAGGAGGAGGAGGAGGAGGAGGAGGAGGAGGAGGAGGAGGAGGAGGAGGAGGAGGAGGAGGAGGAGGAGGAGGAGGATCACTGACCAAACTGCCAGGTCAGCGAGCGGGCCACCATTGAACAGTCCCGCGAGGGCGCTAGGCGCAATGAGGAACTGCCAATGGGGGGCACCTACTGCTGGGGAAACCCCAACTCGCAGCCTGTTTAAGGGGGTTGCTAACGAGGGCCCGCCTTGGCTAGCAGCCTCACGTCGAAAGCACTGCGCCCGGCGAGGTGGATGAGCAGAGGAGAGGGCCTGCGTTGAAAACGCCGGCTCCCTCTCGTGAAAGGACAAGTGGGGGAGGTGAGGAGGAGAGGGCCTGCATTGAAAACGCCGGCTCCCTCTCGTGGAGGGCGGCTCCCTCTCGTGGAGGGCGGCTCCCTCTCGTGGAGGACGGCTCCCTCTCGTGGAGGGCGGCTCCCTCTCGTGGAGGGCGGCCGCCTCTCGTGGAGGGCGGCTCCCTCTCGTGGAGGGCGGCTCCCTCTCGGGGAGAGCGGCACCCTCTCGTGGAGGGCGGCCCCCTCTCGTGGAGGGCGGCTCCCTCTCGTGGAGGGATGCTCCCTCTCGTGGAAGGCGGCTCCCTCTCTTGGGGGGCGGCTCCCCCTCGTGGAGGGCGGCTCCCTCTCGTGGAGGGCGGCTCCCTCTCGTGCAGGGCGGCTCCCTCTCGTGGAGGACGGCAAGAGAAGGAGGAGGAGGAGGAGGAGGAGGAGGAGGAGGAGGAGGAGGAGGAGGAGGAAAAGGGCAGCTGGGGGGCAGCCCGAGGCCCGAGCAAGCCGTGTGCGTGAACTGTCTACCCCGGACTCGCCCCCGGGCGCCGCGCCCGGCCGCGCGCGCGCCCCTGCGGGGGAGGGGGGCGGCCTCAGCGCGCCGCCGCGCCATGTGAGGCGCGCGGCGGCGCGCGTACAAGGCAGTTTTTTAATACATAGGATGTGTGTGTGTGTGTGTTTATTATAAAAGAACAGCACAAAAACATGATGTTCAATACATGATCAAGTTGTGAATAAATGTATGCACGAACTCATGGTTGTTCTTAGTACTAGATCCCTGCATTTTTGATACATGCTCCGCACGCGGAGCATGTATTCAAAACGGCACTGTACCACGAGAGGACGATCAACCGCGACTACAACAGCATCAACATCGACGTGAGATACCCTACTGTTCTCCTCGTTGTCCTCCCCGTTGTCCTCCTCCAGCCCGCGGTTTCTCATTTCCCCTCTGCCCTGCGACGTGGCCCGGCAACGCGAAGGCGGCCAAGGGGCTGCGGTTCGCAGGCCGGCGGGGGGCCTTGAATCCGAGGGAACCCCTCGACACACATGCTAGGTCTCGAAAGTCGCTTCTGGTGTCGCCCTCGGCGCCCGTGCCCCCCCCCCAAAAAGATCAATAGAAGCGTACACATTCAACATATCGAAGGGCTCCCATCTTTGTGGGGACCCACGAGCAAGTATGCCGAGACCATACACGCATCGAGGAACACAGGCACGAACAGACGCGGCCCACAAACGAGTGGGGTACTCTGTCCGACATGAGGTACAGCCTCGATCCGACGACTTCATTACCATTGCTACGACCGCCCTCGCGATGGCGTCCAGGCACGAGCTGTGTAATAGGCAGCCCAAGTATGAGAACGAGCAACAGGCAGCCTGAGTACGATAATGAGCTGCGTAACAGGCAGCCCGAGGACGAGAACCAGCACAAGTAAAACACCAAGTACGCTACCATGATCGACACCAGGAATGACACGACCGAGCAACCTGAAGGGACTACTAAGTACGTCATCGTGAAAAGTACTGGTGGACTATGGCCGCGCCGCTTACGACGAGTACGACTACGATGCCTATGACGGGCACGGCGAGCACAACTTCTCCGACGAATCCACCTCATACGGTTTCATCACCTTGCCACCAGAGCTACGAGGGCTACAAGCAGAGCTGCGAGATCCACAACCAGAGCTACCAGAGTATTCTGCCACGCGACGTGCGCAACCAGCAGAGCTACGGGGCAAGAAGCAGAACTCGAGAACCACCCTCTGTGTTATGAGGGCCACCAGCAGCGCTTCGAGAACCACCAGCTACGCTCCGAGGGCCACCAGCAGAGCTTCGAGTACCACCAGTCGAGCGTCGAGGATCACCAACTGTGGCACGAGTGTCACCTACCGAGCTACCTGCGCGTGACCAGTAAGATCTCCTGCATGGCGCTGGCACAAAGAACGTGGAATACCACGGCTTGGCAGCCGAGGTTTCCGACTCTGTCCTCGTGGACTCCGACGTGGACGTGCCCCTTGACTACTTCTCGGGCCAGGTGTACGACGAGCACGAGAAGGGCATCCAAGCTCCGAAGCGAGTATCAGCGGAGCTCCGTCGACCAGCTGAACTACTAGAGCCTCCAGTAAACCTGCGAGAACAGCCAGCCGAACTGCGAGGACAGCAAGAGCTTCAAGAGCCAAAGGCACAACTACGAGACCCATCAGCTGAGCTACGAGAGCCGCAAGCGAGACTTCGAGGACCACAAGGCGATCTCATGAAACCACCAGCTCAGCTACCGAGGTCACGAGCAGAGCGTCGAGAGTCAACCGTCAGAGCAACGAGGCCCACGCGCAGAGTGGCGAGGGTCACAACCTCAGCCCTCATAGCCACAATCAGAAACACGGATCCACCAGCCACAGGCAGGGCTACGAGGACCACCAGCCGAGCCTGCGGGCTGCAAGTTCAGCGACGGGGGCCACAAGCAGGGCTACGAGGACCACCAGCTGCACTACTTACGAGGGCCCCCAGCTGAGCTTCGAGGGCAGCAAGCAAAGCAACTGCAGCCACCACCAGAGTTACCAGGGCCACCAAAAGACCTTCGTAGACGTCATAGACCACAAGCTG